CTTTTCTCTTTTCTTCGTTTTCTCGGAAATACCGCTATTCTTCATGTTATTATTATTGTTGTTTATTTTTCTTATTTTATTATCATTTCCCTTTTCCATTTTATCATATTACTGCCGTTTGCTCAGGAAGAACACATCATAAATATATGAATATTAATGTTCATTTTAGGTGTATGGTTGTAGTGTCTTTGTTCATCTTTTCGTCCATTTAAAAGTAGATCCAAAATTTACATAAATTTTCACTGATATAAATTTGCATATAAGATATGACAGTTTATTTGAAGGAAAAAAAATCAAAGGCTTTTAAAACATTATTTACATAACGATTTTATTAGAGGGGGAAAATTAAAACAGAACAAATAAAACAAATAAATATATATATTTTTTTAAATACGCAAATAAACAAATAAAAGAACTCAATATTTCTGACAAACCAGTAATCTTGAAGAAACGAAGAAGAAATATATCTTAAACAAAATATTTCCTCACTTAGGTAGCCATTCGCTCCTCCCTCCCTCCCCCCCCCTCCCCCCTCCCCCTCCCCTTTCACAACCTGGCAACAACGTGTCACAGAAGATTCACCTTTATAGTAACACGTCTTAGAGGCGATAATCGAGTGCCTTCTCCCTTTTGGGTAATGGTGTCACTCGGCGTATGATGAAAGGAAAAAGAAAACGGGAAGTGATGGTCGGGTTACCAATAGTCGCTCATAAAACACCTTTTCTGTTGTTAGTTATGATTTTTTTTGTTTTTTGTTTGTTTTTGGTCTCTGTTTTGTGTTTGTTTGTTGTTATTCTGTTTTTATATAATCTTGTTCTGTTTTGATTTTTTTTTTCTTTTTTTGGGAGTGTCTCTGTTTTGTGTTTGTTTGTTGCTTTTCTGTTTTTTTTATGATCGTGTTCTGTTTTGATTTTTTTTTCTGTGTTAGGTATTTTCTCTCTTTTTTCCCCCGAGTTGTTTCAGTTTTTTTGGAATTTCGATGGAGTATTTTCTTAAGGAATATGTGTACTTATGATTGTAAGTGTATATATCTGTATCCAGATATCTTTATAAATTAATATGTATTTATATTCTAATCCACATTATTCTTTCATTACTAGCCTTCAAATAAATGTATAAAGAAACACACACACATACACACACACACACACACACACACACACGCACACACACACACACACACACGCACAGATAAATAAATCCACATACATAAAAAACACACACACATCCAACTAACATTATTTATTTTTTTATCATTGCTCTAACCCAGCAACCTCTTCTCAAAAAAACTTTAAACCAACCCAAACTAACCGGTTCACGCCCACTTCCCCCCCACCCCCCACCCCCACTCCACCCAAAGGGCTGTGGTGGACTGCAAACAGGTAGTCCACACAGCCACCCTCAAGGGCCCGGCAGTGGAGGGCCTCGCCGAAGCCACCAAAAAGTTCCTGACTGCTTGTTCGGCCGCGAAGACGATCAAGAGAGTGGTCTTCACTTCTTGTTCGAATGCGGTCATCGGTACTGGAACTTCGTCGAGTTGTTTTTTGAATCTATCTCTTTCTCTCTCTTTTTTTTTTTTTCTTTCTTTCTTTCTCTCTCTTTCTTTCTTTCTCTCTCTCTTTCTTTCTTTCTCTCTCTTCTTTCTTTCTCTTTCTCTCTTTCTTTCTCTCTCTCTCTCTCTCTCTCTCTCTCTCTCTCTCTCTCTCTCTCTCTCTCTCTCTCTCTCTCTCTCTCTCTCTCTCTCTCTCTCTCTCTCACTCACTCTCTCTCTCTTTCTCTTTCTCTTTCTCTTTCTCTCTTTCTTTCTCTCTCTTTCTTTTTTTTTTCTAGTTGCCTCGATTTGCATTTTACGATTAGTGTTTTTTTATTAAGGTTATTTTCTTTGCATGTTTTCCCTTAGGTGGCCTAGTTGCTGATTTGTGGAGTATGTGGTTGCCTGCGATCTATATGTATATTGTGCCTATCATTATATATATTTCTTCTCCTTCTTCTTGTTCTTCTTTTTCTTTTTTTCTTTTTTTCTTTTTTTCTTTTTTTTCTTTTTTTTTTTTTCTTCCTCTGTGAAATCTCCTTGTATTCATAAAATGTTTCCTTCCAATACACGTTTCTTTTCTCATTATTTATTTTTTTTTTCACTTTGTAAATAGCTCTTTATATATCATTTTTCTCATCCACTTCATTGTTTTGATAATTACTACATTCATTATGATTTCCAGATTTATTCCATTAACTGAAAGCTCCAAGATCATTAAATAACTTTTTTTTATTACAATATTCCCTCTCCAATTCTTTTCTCATTTCTTTTCATTACAGTTTTTTTCCTATTTATTGTTTACTATATATCACTGCCTATATATTTTGCTCTTTACCATCTACTAAAATCATGTCAATTATGAAACAACATTAAAATTTTTCAGTTTCTTTCGAACCTTCATTTTCCTTCCTTTTATATCTCCAATCCATATGTACAGATAGATAGATAGATATATAGATAGATAGATAGATGTTTGTATATATGTGTGTATATATGTGTGTGTGTATGTGTGTGTGTATATATATATCATTGCTTATTTTACATGCCTCATATAATTCTATGTATAAAGTATCTATCAATCTCTCTATCTATCTGCATATATATCTATCTATCAAGCTTGTTTATCTGTCTATCGATCGATCTCTTTCGTAGCGTACCCGATGAGCATGGTACCTGAATGCTGTTCTGCAAGCCCAACCCGCCAGCATTATTTTTTTTTCTTCCCTTTTTACAGAACAATTTTTTTTTGTATTTATTTTTTTCTTAAGGAAGACCGAGAAGAAGAAAAAGAAGAATAAAAAACAGGGACCGAACAACAGGGAGAGAAAAAACAACAACCAGAAACGTGGCATTAATATTTTTTTTAAAAGAAAACGAGGAAAAATCACCCATTTTTTTTTTTTCTTTTTTGTAAACAAGGGGAGAACGAACCTAAAAAAAAAATTATCCCTCAAAACAAAACACAGTCAACAAGCTTCCTGAACCGTAGCTTCTGGTTCTTCTTAGGGCAGTGGAAGGGTGCACGGGCGTCCTCCACGTGGCCAGCCCTTTCCCCGACCTCGTGAACCAGCAGGCGGAGGAGGCAGGACTCGTGGACACGGCGAAGGACGGCACACTCCAGGTCCTCAAGGCTGTTGCCGCCCACGCCGCCGCCTCCGTCAAGCGCGTTGTGGTCACGTCCTCCTTCGCTGCGGTCTTCGGTAGATTGATTTTTTTTTTCTTTTTTTTTGAGGGGGGGATTTTTTTGTTTTTTTTTGTTTTGAGGGCGGGGAAGGGAGGTGTTAGGAGGACGGGAAAATATCAGGACTATTTTTTTTTTCTTCTTTTTGGCATAAAAGGAGGTAAGATAGGTGCCTAGCTCCCTGTGTATGTGACATATGTATATATATATATATATATATATATATATATATATATATATATATATATATATATATATATATATATATATATATACATATATATATATATGTACATGTATATATATACACATACATACGCAATTGCACACTTAGCTCTTTTCTTTAATCAATTTCCCTGCCAATATCCCCAATGTGGCTGTTACTGTGCAATATTTGTGCAACGTTAAACCCCAACTTTTCATCTATTTACTCTGCAATGTTGCTTTCGCTGCTCTGTAGTTCCCTTCTTAGTCAATTGAAATGCTACCTAGTTTTTGTTTTTGTAAATATGTAGACCTACGGAGAAAAGTAAGTAAAAGTATTAATTATTAGTGCATGATTGGTGTGAATAAAATCATTCTTCAGTTTTAATAATTAAGGAAGGAAATGATTATATGTGTCTAGTCATTTCCCCAAATATACTATATCCGTTGTTGCAATTTTTGATAAATATGATTATGGTAATATATATATATATTTTTTTTTCATAAGGGATATATATTTAATTGAGGATTACCGTGCAACGAATGAAAATGTGATTTATAGTTTTATGTTTCCGATTATCCGTTCTGAGGTTAAAAAAAAAAAAAAAAAAAAAAAAAAGTTTCTGAAAGGAAATTAAAATTATTTTTTTTTTTTTGAACATATGTGATTAATTAGAGTTATACATTTATATTATTTTCATTTATATCATTTATATCATTTCAGTTAGATAGCATTACTGCATACACCAAAATTAATGGATTTTTTATTAGATATAAAAGCCAAAATATAGGATTAGAAACGAATGCTTAATAGAACATTTTTTAGTGTAATTATTGTAATGATATATAACAACAGACAGACAAACACACTCCCAGTCTCCCCTACACATAATTCCCCCACACAGCCCGAGTCCCACACACTTAAAACTCCCACACTCCCACACACGTATATATATACTCTTCCCCCCCACACCTACACTCTCCCCCACATTCCCACACTCCTCCCCAACACTCACATTCCTCTCACATACCCACACACCCACACTCTCCCCCCACACACACCCCCACACACACACACCCCCCACACACACACACCCCAACACACACTCTCCCCCACCCACACCCCCAACACCCACCCACCCAACACACCTCCCCCCCAACACCCCACCCCAAAAAAACTCCCTCCCCCAACACCCACCCAACACACACCTACCCCACCTCACTCATCACTCACCCCCCCCTTCTCACCACGCCCCCCATCCCCACCCCCACAGGAGAACCAGCCCCAGACGGCGAGAAAACCTACACGGAGGAGGACTGGACTGACGCGGAGAGCACGACCATCGACGCCTACACGAAGTCGAAGGTCGTGGCGGAGAAAGCGGCCTGGGATTATGTTAAAGAACTGCCAGGTGAGAGAGGGAGAGAGGGAGAGGGAGGGAGAGGGGGAGGGAGAGGGAGAGGGGGGGAGGGAGAAGGAGGGAGAGGTAGAGGGAGAGGGAGGGGTGAGAAAGCGGCCTGGGATCATGTGAAGGAACTGCCAGGTGAGAGAGGAAGAGGGGGAGAGGGAGAGGGAGAGAGGGAGGGGGAGGGAGGGAGAGGGAGAGAGGGAGGGGGAGGGAGGGAGAAGGAGGGGGTGGGAGGGAGAGGGAGGGGAGGGGAGAGGGAGGGGGGGGAAGAGGGAGAGAGGGGTGGGATTATGTGAAGGAACTGCCAGGTGAGAGAGGGAGAGGGGGAGAGGGAGGGAGAGGGGGATGGGGAGGGAGAGGGAGAGGGGGTGGGAGGGGAGGGGGGAAGGAGAGGGAGGGGGGAGAAAGCCTGCCTGGGATTACGTGAGGGAGAGGGAAGGAGGGAGGCAGAGAGGGAGAGGGGAAGGGAGAAGGAGGGAGGGAAGGGGAAGGAGGGAGAGGGAGGGGTAGAGGGAAGGGGAAGGAGCGAAGGAGGGGTGAGAAAGCAGCCTGGGATTATGTGAAGGAACTGCCAGGTGAAAGGGGGAGAGGGAGGGGGAGGGAGGGGGAAGGAGGAGGGAAGGGGGGAGGGTGGGAGGTAGGGAGAGGGAGAGGGAGGGAGGGGGAGAAAGGGAGGGAGAGGGAGGAAGAGGGAGAGAGAGGGAGGGAGAAGGAGAGGGAAGGAGAGAGAGGGAGGGAGGGAGAGGGAGGGAGAGGGAGAGGAAGGGAAAAGGAGGGAGGGAGGGAGATTGGGGGGGATATTTTGAAGGAAGGAACTACCAGAGGATTTTTTTTTCCCTTTTGTTTCCTTTTCTCTTTTCTTAATTTTTTAAAGAGGCCATTTTGGGGGGGTTTAGATTTTTTTTTAAATATTGTGAATTAACTGCCTGATGAGAGGAAGCTTTGATTTGTCTATTTATCTATTTTCATTTATGTGTCCTGGTGTCAGGGAAGGATTTTATTTTTTTCTAAGGTTTTTGGATATTATAAAGGAATTGCATGATGTTTCTCTCTCTCTCTCTCTCTCTCTCTCTCTCTCTCTCTCTCTCTCTCTCTCTCTCTCTCTCTCTCTCTTCTCTCTCTCTCTCTCTCTCTCTCTCTCTCTCTCTCTCTCTCTCTCTCTCTCTCTCTCTCTCTCTCTCTCTCTCTCTCTCTTCCTCTCCCTCTCCCTCTCTCCATCTATCTATTTATCTATCTATCTTTCCCTTTCCCTCTCACTCTTCCTCTCCCTCTCTCCCTCCCTCCCTCTCTCTCTCTCTTTCCCTCACCCACCCACCAGAACCAACTAACACTCCCCCTCTCCCCCCCTTCTCCCTCCCTCCCCCCCCACTCAACCAGACGACCAGAAATTCGAGCTGACAGTGATCAACCCGACCTTCGTCCTTGGCCCTCCGCTGCTCGAGGCTCACAAGAGTGCCACGTCGGTCAACTTCATGGCACAGATCGTCAACAGAGCCTATCCCGGGGTGCCTCGCGTTCAGCTCCCCATCTGTGACGTGCGCGACGTGGCGAAGGCTCATGTTAAGGTAAGAAGAAGAGGAGGGGAGGGGTGTGGGGGTGAGGGGTTTGGATGGGGGTGGGGGGGTGGGGGGGTGGGGTGGGGGGTATATAACTCTGTGTGTTTGAGATAGAGGCCTTTTTTTCTATAGGTATATGGGTCTAGATGTATAGATATGAAAATATATAGATATGTAAGTGTTTAGATATAAAAATATATAGATATGTAAGCGTGTAGATATAAAAATGTATAGGTATAGATCTATAATTATATCAGTAAGTATATGGATATATAAGTGTATAGATAAAAAGATATATAAGTATATAGATCTATGATTATATCGATAATATATCTATAGATATAAATACATAGATAATATATCCATAGATATAAATATATAGATAATGGGTATATGGATATAGACGCATATCTATATCTATATACATAGACTTATATATATATATAGGTACACAGATATAGAGACGTATAGATAGGTATACAGATATATCTACGTATAAATAGGTATGTATATACATATAGATACATAGATAGGTATACATATACATACAGAGATATGCTTCTCACGACTTAACGTACTTAATCCCATATAGCTATAGTTCTGAATTACGAATCACCATATCAATTGCTATGTATCGCCTGCAACACAACTGCTATCACCCTCACCCCCCCCTTTCTCCACCACCATGTCTCCCCCAGTGCCACGTCAGTGCCACATCGTCATGCCCCGATTTTCTCCATCGTCATGCCCCATTCATGCAATTCATGCCCAAGTCAACCCCTCGTGCCCCAATTTTCCCATTTATCATGCCCCATTCTTCCTCTCATGCCCCATTCATTCCTTTCATATCCCTCCCCTGACCCCCCCCTCTCACGCCCCAATTCCCCCCTCATACCTCTGCCCCAATATCCTCCTCAAACCCCAACTCGAATTCCCTCCTCATACCCCAATGCTCCCTCCCCCCTCATGCCCCTACCCCAATTTCCCCTTGATACCCCTTCCACAATTTCCCCCTCACGCCCCAGCCCCAATTTCCTCCCCTTCACACCCCAATCCCCCCTCATACCCCTGTCCCAATCCCTCCCCCCTCACGCCCCAATCCCCCCCTCCTTCACACCCCAATCCCCCCCATCCTCATACCCCAACCCCAATCCCTCCCTCCCCTCACGCCCCAATCTCTCCCGCCCCCCCTCACGCCCTCACTTCCCCCCCCAGGCCCTGACCGCGCCCGAGGCCGTGAACAACCGCCACATCATCTACACGGACAGCGTCTGGATCAAAGACATCGCCCTGGCTGCCTCGAAGGAGTTCAAACCTCAGGGCTACTCGATCCCCACGGGCCAGCTGCCCTATTTCCTCTGCTGGGTGGCTGGGCTCTTTAATAAGGGAATGAAGAACAATATCTTGCCTCGTCTCGGGAAGCAATTGACTGCCAGTAATAAGAGGGTGAGTGTTTTTTTTTTTTTTTTTTTTTTTTTTTGGGGGGGGAGGAGAGGGGGAGGGGGGTTGGTTGGTTGGTTAATGGTTTGTTTTTTTTTGTTTGTGTGTGTGTGTTTCATGTTTTTTTTTTTTCTTTTCTTTTCTTTACTTTTCTATCTTTCCTTCTGTCGTTTTTGCTAGTTTTCTTTTCTGCATTTATTTCAGTGTGATGTGTCTTTTGCTCTTTTCTTTTAAGTTTACTGCTTTATAGATTTTTCTCCCACCTTTTTTTATCTAATTTTCTGCGTTATATTTACTATCCTGTTTCTCTTCCAATCATTCTCACTTTGTTTCTACTTTTTTCAGTTTTATTTCCCTTCTCATCCTATCTTTGTCTTTTATCAGGTTCTACTATCATCTATCATTAAAGTCCCTCTAATTAACACTAATTATATATATACTCATTAAACGGTATATTTTATTGAATAGCTACATTACCAAAAAAAATATCCCTTTGAAAACCGCATTATACATTTTAATAACTTTTTATAACAAACTTTCCTTTTTTATAACTTTTTTTTATAACTAACGTGTCTTTTTATAACTTTTTTTTATAACTAACTTGTCTTTTTATAACTTTTTTTTATAACTAACTCTCCTTTTTATTTTTTATAACTTTTTTTTATAACTAACTTGTCTTTTTTATATATTTTTTTTATAACTAACTTTCCTTTTTTATAACTTTTTATAACTAATTTATCTATTTTAAAACTTTTTTATAACCACCTCTATCCCAACTTTCCTTTTTATAAAAAAAAAATATATAACTAACTCTCCTTTTTATAACTTTTTTTTATAACTAACTTTCCTTTTTATATATATTTTTTTATAACCAACTCTCCATTTTTATATAACTTTTTAAAGCAAAGTTCCTGCAGATTGTAACGTTACCCATATCCCCCCACAGATGGTTGAGGTCTTGGGTGTTGAACCAACTGCCATCGATTGCACAGTGCAAGACATGGTTTACGCCCTTGTTGATCTCGGCATCGTCCGCAAGGCCAAGAAGTATAAGCAGGTACGTGTTATTTCAGTACTAGGGTGGTACAAGTGGATGTTGTTGTTTGGTGAAGCGATAAGTTATTTTTATTGGAGGTTTTGATTGTTATGATTAAAATAGGCTGGAAGTTATTTTTATTGAAGGTTTTGATTGTTGTTGTTTATTTCAAAATAGGATGGAAGTTATTTTTATTGAAGGTTTTGATTGTTGTTATTGTTTTAAGATAGGATGGAAGTTATTTTATTGAAGGTTTTTTATTATTATCAAAAATATTAGTTGTTTTATTGATTTTCTTTTTGTTTTTATTATCAAAAGAGGCTGGAAATTGTTGTTATTATCATTAAAAAGGCTAGAAGTTATTTTCTTGACGTTTTTTATTGTTGTTATTATTATTAAGAAAAAGAAAGGCAGAGAGAGGGGGGAGAAAGAGTGAAATAACATATATTTTAGAAGAAAAAAATATCTGCAAGCTAGATTAGACATTTTATAAACCAGTCCGTTTATGAAAGAATTTGATATGCAATATGCAAATGAATAACCAACATCCACTTCCACTCCACCCAATAACGAAGATTTACTCACTGATAAACCACATGATTAAGTTACAATCCTACTCAGCAATACCAATTGATGAAACCAATATTAATGATGGATCTTTTCCTTAAAAATAAAAATTATCACCAACGGACAGATCTGACCAATTTTTTTTTTTTTTTTTTTTTTTTTTTTTTTTTTTTTTTTTTTTTTTGACAGGTTGGATCCCGAGCAGAGGTTCCGGCTGTGAATGGGGAAGTAGAGGAAGACAAGAAGGAAGGAAAGGAAGAGGAGAAGGCTGAGGAAGCAGAAGAGAAGAAGGAATTGGAGCCAGAGGATAAAGGTGAGGAGATAGGAGAAGGAGGAGGAGGGAGGGAGGAAAGGAGGGAGGAGGAGGAGGAGGAGGAGGAGGAAAAGGAGGAGAAGAAGAAGAAGAAGAGGAAGAAGGAGGAGGAGGAGGGGGAGGGGGGAGGGGGAGTACAAAGAGAATAAGAAAAAGAAAAAAAAAAACAGTAAAACGTAAAGTAGAAAGAGAGAGAAACAAAACCTCCTATTATTGATATAAAGAAAATTATTATGAAAATTATTAAAAAAGAAAAACAATGTGGTTCTGGTCATGTCATTCATTACACCTTAATTTTAACCCTTTACCTTCAATAAATCTTAGTCCAGATTTTTTTTTTTTTTTTTTTTCATTTTATTTATTTCATGTGAAAACTTTGTACGAGAAGATTTGCTATTGTCTCGTTTAAGATATGTTTAAGATGTGTTTGAGTAATGATCTTTTAAGTGTTTACTGTAGTTTTGTGACAAGTTGTCTTTCTCTTTCTTTTATGACAGTCTGTCTCTGTGTGTATGTCTGTCTGTCTCTGTCTCTCTATGTCACTCTCACTCTCTCTCTCTCTCAGCATTGAAATCACCTTTACATATATATATATATATATATATATATATATATATATATATATATATATATATATATATATATATACACATACATAAATAACCCCCCCATGTTCCCACCTTGCAGAGAAAAAGGAAGGCGAGGAAATCAAAGACGAGAAGAGCGAAGCCCCGAAGGAGGAAAGCAAAGAGAAAGAGGAACCAGGCAAGGAAGAGAAGAAGGAGGAGAGCGAAGCCGAGAAATGAAGATTGAAACGGAGGAGTAAGAGTGAAGACTTTTCGGAACTCTCAAAATTCCGCATTTGGATCAGCCTGAGTTTTGACAGCCCGACAGACTGTGGGGCAATGTTGCAAACCTATGAATAAGAGGCAGTTTGATATCGTGTCCGCCAGAGTGTGAGAGATTGATTTTTATTTTTTACATTTTTTTGTTTTTTTGTCAATTTTTTGTCTTTTTTTTTGTTTTGTTTTTTGTTTTTTGGTTTTGTTTTATTCGGATCTTGTTTTGTCTTCTTTTTTTTTTGAGGTGAAGTTATGGTTTTGATTTTGATTTTTTTATTATTAGATTTTTTTTTTTCCTTTTTATTCGTGTTTTCTTTATTTTCGTTTCCCTTCGTTTCTTTCCATTTATTTTGGAATAGGTGCTGCTTTCTGTTCTCCAATCTTTTATAAATGTTTTATATATATATATATATATGTATGTGTGTGTGTGTGTATGTATGTATCTTTTATTTTTTTTATTCGTTTGTCATGTAAAGTCCAGACATGTTGATTTCCAAGTGTATTTTATGTTCAGTATTAAATGGATGTATTCATGTAGACTTACATAACTAGGTATGTGTACCAATAATTAAAGAATCAGACGAACTGAAGATTAGCACAGTGGTAGCCAGTTAGATCGTTTGTAAAAACCAATGGATTTGGCATTTTTGAAGTAGCATGGTTTTTGTTTTTTTTTATATTACAGATATGTAGGCTGTAAACTCACTTTTATGATTTGATATATGAATCTTTTTAAGTTTTATATTTAGATATGACACTTAGGTTTTTTTTATGTTATTGTTTTTTTTTTTTGTTTTTCTTTTTTTTTTTTTTTTTTTTTTTAGCAACTAACACAGCATATCTGATTGGTTAAAGGTGCCTTGATTTCCCCCCCCCCCCCCCCGAGCCCTAAAAAAGATAGACATTTAAACCCAAAAATTGTGATACCATCTGGAGGCCAGTTGGAGGCTAGTCTTCCTTCATTAATAATCTTTTTTAGAAACCGTATATATATAGATATATATTGCTGTGCGCACCCTCACTGGCTTTTGAATTTTTACTCTGCCTTATCCAAGTGCATCTGGAATATTTATCACAGGTCCCTTTTTTGATACAAATCATCCCCCCCCCCACCCCCCTTTCAAAAAAAAAAGTGGTAAAATAATAATGACAATGATGATAATAATAATGGTATTTTAAAGATTTTTTTTTTTTAATCTTTATTAATTAGGTCGAATCGGTCACACGCTCCAAAAAAAAGGGAAAAAAACAAAATTAAAGAAAACAGAAAGGAAAAAAAAACACTCCCCTAGCTCGAACTCCTCAAAGTTTCAAAAAAAAAAGAAAAGAAATAAATGGGGGGAAAAAATAGATTAAAAATACGACCAACCCCTATAATTGGCTTCAGCGCATGGGAGTGTGAACCTTATACCCCGGTAGTTTGGAGATCATAACCGTATGGCATATCTACGTAGAATTAGGGAGGAAGGGCACCAGTGCAAAAAGAAAAACGACTTCTGTGGTGTTATTTAAGAAAGAAAAAAAAGGAAGAAGAAGAAGAAGTTGTTAAAGGAAGGAGAGATAGAGAGAGAGAGAATGAAAGATACATTGTGAGAGTAATTCATATAAGAGACTAGAATTACCGTTGTAAATTTTCTAGCGTTGCAGGGTGCATCATCGAAATTGATCTACTTAGAAATAAGTATACTCTAGGACCCGTGATGTATGTGTGTGTGTATGTGTGTTTTTTTCCCCCTTTTTTTTAAAGTGCATTTTACCTGTATTTTTTGAGGTGCCGAGTGGCTGTTTCTGTATATTTGATCGTATGCATGTATAAGTGTGTGGGGAAAAAAAAGTGTCATTCTCTGCCTGACAATAGTTTCTAAGTGTCTGAATTTCGAGGGTTTACCCACTTGACAGCGAGGTAGAATCAGCTGATGTGAAAAAAAATGAAAAAAACAATGTAGAAATGGTTTCCTCCATGCTTCTCTTTATAGTAGCAGTTTCTTATAAATGTACATATATTTTTACTATTTCCTAATTTTGTATGCACTTTTAAGAAATGTCAGACAATGTGATATTTTTGTTATTGCTCAATTTAGTTTACATTAGAGGAAGAAAAAAAAAATAAGAAGAAGAAGAAAAAAAAAACGTATTTCGGTGAGAGTGTCCCACCATTTTTGACTCAAAATTGCTGTAGAAGATTTTGGTAGCTTTTGTACTAAATTTTTAATAAGGCTTTCATTCATTTCTCTAGATCAATTTATTAGTATAGGCACAATTTCTCTTATATCTCTAGATGTTTAAGCCTTGTTTTCCATGCTACTGCTGTAGTTTTAAGTCCAAATTATTATATTATTATTGGGACTTATCCCACCATGCCACTGATAATATATATATAAGTTTGATGATGAGAGAGCGATTCCAAGAGTCGAGAAGAGAGAGAATGAGTCATTACCCTCTGTTCAACCCAAAAAAAAAAAAAAAAACATGTATGGTACATATTTAAGCACAACCTACAGACTATCCGATTTGTACAGACCGACATTTGCCCACTGAAAGCTCTCCCCATCCGCCCCTTAGCAAGATAAACAACCGCGGTCCAGCCCTTGTTGTGTCTTGCGGAGGTTCTTTCTTTGTCCTCCTTCTGTAGGGACCTTAGGGAGGGTGTTCGCCTACAACTCCTTTTCGTAACCCGTTTAGGCCGAGAGACAGAGAGAGAGAGAGAGAGAGACAGAGAGTTGGTGTGAGACTCTTTTCATACTTCCTTTGTATTGTAGCTTTCCTTAGGGAAGGGTGGGTTAGAGAGATGGGTAAGGGGGTGAGGGGGGAGAGGGAGGGAGTGGGGGGGAAGGGGGTGGTGCGATCGAGAGAGAAGTACGTGCCAGTAGCATCCAATCTTGTAGTTTGTTTTATACGTATAGGGGGAAGGAAAGGCGGACTCTTGATGTGGGAAGGGGAGAGGCATTTATATATGAGGATACCCTAGGTCCTCAGCCTCCCCGACCCACGATAACTCTAAACCTTTATACTCAGACATATTCCCCCTTCCCTTCCCCTCCCCCCCCCAACCCTATCTTCTATCCCATCGTCGCGTCACGCCCTTCCCTAAATATTCATTGAAATCAAGGAAGTAGTTCATTGCTTAAAACCAATTTCCTTCGTGTTGTCGTCGATTTTCCTTGTGGCCTTTACCCCACCCCCCTCCCCCTCCCTCCCTCCCTCCCTCCCTCCCCCACTCTCTCTTTTTTTTCTATTTTACCCGACTGTGTGTCTGTCTTTCATAGGAATTTTAAAAAATGAGTATATTCAGATTAAGGGGAAGAGCGAGAGAGGAAAAAAAAAATGAAGAAAGGAATTTTTTAGCATTGTGAGAGTACTGATTTTTTTTTATCTTTCTTTTTCTTTTTTTTTCTTTTTTTTGTCTTTCCTTTTCTTGAAATAGAATTTTAGAATTAAAGCGAGGAAGAACAATGAAGAGAGAATACCCTTGCTTTAACACAATCCTTAAGTAATGAAGACCAATGACTTTTTTTTTATTAAACCTCAGCTTCACATGCTATCCCACCTTTTCATTATAGATCATAAGGTTCTTCTTCGTATAATATTTATTCAACAAACTCAAAACTTTGTAAATTTCCCCCTCCCCCTTCCCCCCACCCCCCCAACCCCTCTTCTACTGCCATATGTAAGGGCTTGATTAAATACAGTGTAAAACAAGAACCAATGTAACAGTGTAGGCAGTTATACTATATACCAATTGTCGACTGTGTTTGTTTGTCTTTTCCAAAAGAGGTGTAGAGAAGAAATGCAAAAAAGAAGGAGAAAGGGAACAAAGGAAAGGTAGGAATAAGGGAACAAAGGAAAATTTAAGAATGAAAAGACGGAAGAAGGAAATCAATAAAAGGAAAAAATAAAATACAATACAAAAAAATATATATATAAATATTCTCCATAGAGGAACAACGACTTTGTAGCCATCCATACTCTTCCCTCCCCCCCCCCCCACTCTACACGCTCTCCCTTGGAAAGAGTGAAATAAATATATATAAATAAATGAATAAGTGAATGAAATATCCACAAAAGCTTAAGAAACACCACCCTCCCAACCCCCCCTTAAAAAAAAGTAAGCAAAAACAAGCAAACAAACAAAACAAAAACGTACACACGACAGTCGCACCAATTTATCTAAACTATATCTCTTCGTATCTTCTCTTCTATATAAAACATTTCATAGAAAGAAAAAAAAAATAAAACACAAAAAAAAAAATAAACATAAAAAAAAAAACGAAATCAAACTCTGCACGTTATGTGTTGGATGTTGAATAATCTTTCCTCTTCAAAAGGAGTTTTCTGTGAATAGGCTTGAGAGAAAATGGTTGAATTCTGTGAAGGACTTTGAAAGTGTATTGTGAGCAGTAAAGACTAAGTCTGTGGAA